CCCAAACTATGGTCACTACGTTCCCCAAACTATGGTCACTTACGTCCCCCAAACTATGGTCACTACGTCTCCCAAACTATGGTCACTACGTCTCCCAAACTATGGTCACTACGTCTCCCAAACTATGGTCACTACGTCCCCCAAACTATGGTCACTACGTCCCCCAAACTATGGTCACTACGTCCCCCAAACTATGGTCACTACGTCCCCAAACTATGGTCACTACGTCCCCCAAACTATGGTCACTACGTCCCCCAAACTATGGTCACTACGTCCCCCAAACTATGGTCACTACGTCCCCCAAACTATGGTCACTACGTCCCCCAAACTATGGTCACTACGTCTCCCAAACTATGGTCACTACGTCCCCCCAAACTATTGGTTCACTAAGTCTCCCAAACTCTGGTCACTACGTCCCCCAAACTATGGTCACTACGTCCCCCAAACTATGGTCACTACGTCTCCCAAACTATTGTCACTACGTCCCCAAACTATGGTCACACGCCCCAAACTATGGGCATACGTCCCCCAAACTATGGTCACTACTCCCCCAAAATATGGTCACTACGTCCCCCAACTATGGTCACTACGTCCCCAAACTATGGTCACTACGTCCCCAAACTATGGTCACTACGTTCTCCCAAACTATGGTCACTACGTCCCCCAAACTATGGTCACTACGTCCCCCAACTATGGTCACTACGTCCCCCAAACTATGGTCACTACGCTCCCCCAAACTAATGGTCACTACGTCCCCAAAACTATGGTCACTACGTCCCCCAAACTATGGTCACTACGTCCCCCAAACTATGGTCACTACGTCCCCCAAACTATGGTCACTACGTCCCCCAAACTATGGTCACTACGTCCCCCAAACTATGGTCACTACGTCCCCCAAACTATGGTCACTACGTCCCCCAAACTATGGTCACTACGTCCCCCAAAACTCTGGTCACTACGTCCCCCAAAACTATGGTCACTACGTCCCCCAAAACTATGGTCACTACGTCCTCCCAAACTATGGTCACTACGTCTCCCCAAACTATGGTCACTACGTCTACCCAAACTATGGTCACTACGTCCCCCAAAACTATGGTCACTACGTCTCCCAAACTATGGTCACTAGTCCCCCAACTATGGTCACTACGTCCCCCAAACTATGGTCACTACGTCCCCAAAACTATGGTTCAATCAGTGCCCCCAAAACTATGGTCACTACGTCCCCAAACTATGGTCACTAACGTCCCCCAAACTATGGTCACACGTCTCCCAAACTATGGTCACTACGTCCCCCAAACTATGGTCATACGTCTCCCCAAATATGGTCACTACGTCTCCCAAACTATGGTCACTACGTCTCCCAAAACTATGGTCACTACGTCCCCCAAACTATGGTCCACTACGTCCCCCAAACTATGGTCATACGTCCCCCCAAACTATGGTCACTACGTCCCCCAAACTAGGGTCACTACTATGGTCACTACGTCCCCCAAACTATGGTCACTACGTCCCCCAAACTATGGTCACTACGTCCCCCAAACTATGGTCACTACGTCTCCCAAACTATGGTCACTACGTCTCCCAAACTATGGTCACTACGTCTCCCAAACTATGGTCACTACGTCTCCCAAACTATGGTCATCAACGTCCCCAAACTATGGTCACTACGTCCCCCAAACTATGGTCACTACGTCTCCCAAACTATGGTCATCAAGTCCCCCAAACTATGGTCACTACGTCCCCCAAACTATGGTCACTACGTCTCCCAAACTATGGTCATCAAGTCCCCCAAACTATGGTCACTACGTCCCCCAAACTATGGTCACTACGTCTCCCAAACTATGGTCACTACGTCTCCCAAACTATGGTCACTACGTCCCCCAAACTATGGTCACTACGTCTCCCAAACTATGGTCACTACGTCTCCCAAACTATGGTCACTACGTCTCCCAAACTATGGTCACTACGTCCCCCAAACTATGGTCACTACGTCCCCCAAACTATGGTCACTACGTCCCCCAAACTATGGTCACTACGTCCCCCAAACTATGGTCACTACGTCCCCCAAACTATGGTCACACGTCCCCAACAGGTCACTAGTCCCCAAACTATGGTCACTACGTCTCCCAAACTATGGTCATAAGTCCCCCAAACTATGGTCACTACGTCCCCCAAACTATGGTCACTACGTCTCCCAAACTATGGTCATCAAGTCCCCCAAACTATGGTCACTACGTCCCCCAAACTATGGTCACTACGTCTCCCAAAAACTATGGTCATAGCCCAATATGTCCACGTCCCCAACATGGTCACTAGGTCCAACTGTCACGTCCCCCAAACTATGGTCACTACGTCTCCCCAAACTATGGTCACTACGTCTCCCAAACTATGTCCAGCTCCAAACTATGGTCACTACGTCCCCCAAACTATGGTCACTACGTCTCCCAAACTATGGTCACTACGTCTCCCAAACTATGGTCACTACGTCTCCCAAACTATGGTCACTACGTCCCCCAAACTATGGTCACTACGTCCCCCAAACTATGGTCACTACGTCCCCCAAACTATGGTCACTACGTCCCCCAAACTATGGTCACTACGTCTCCCAAACTATGGTCACTACGTCCCCCAAACTATGGTCACTACGTCCCCCAAACTATGGTCACTACGTCTCCCAAACTATGGTCATCAAGTCCCCCAAACTATGGTCACTACGTCTCCCAAACTATGGTCACTACGTCCCCCAAACTATGGTCACTACGTCTCCCAAACTATGGTCACTACGTCCCCCAAACTATGGTCACTACGTCCCCCAAACTATGGTCACTACGTCTCCCAAACTATGGTCATCAAGTCCCCCAAACTATGGTCACTACGTCTCCCAAACTATGGTCACTACGTCTCCCAAACTATGGTCACTACGTCTCCCAAACTATGGTCATCAAGTCCCCCAAACTATGGTCATCAAGTCTCCCAAACTATGGTCATCAAGTCCCCCAAACTATGGTCATCAAGTCCCCCAAACTATGGTCATCAAGTCCCCCAAACTATGGTCATCAAGTCCCCCAAACTGGTCATCAAGTCCCCCAAACTGGTCATCAAGTCCCCCAAACTATGGTCATCAAGTCCCCGAAACTGGTCATCAAGTCCCCCAAACTGGTCATCAAGTCCCCCAAACTATGGTCATCAAGTCCCCCAAACTGGTCATCAAGTCCCCCAAACTGGTCATCAAGTCCCCCCAAACTATGGTCATCAAGTCCCCCAAACTGGTCATCAAGTCCCCCAAACTGGTCATCAAGTCCCCCAAACTATGGTCATCAAGTCCCCGAAACTGGTCATCAAGTCCCCCAAACTGGTCATCAAGTCCCCCAAACTATGGTCATCAAGTCCCCGAAACTGGTCATCAAGTCCCCCAAACTGGTCATCAAGTCCCCCAAACTATGGTCATCAAGTCCCCCAAACTATGGTCATCAAGTCCCCCAAACTGGTCATCAAGTCCCCCAAACTATGGTCATCAAGTCCCCCAAACTATGGTCATCAAGTCCCCCAAACTATGGTCATCAAGTCCCCCAAACTATGGTCATCAAGTCCCCCAAACTGGTCATCAAGTCCCCCAAACTATGGTCATCAAGTCCCCCAAACTATGGTCATCAAGTCCCCCAAACTGGTCATCAAGTCCCCCAAACTGGTCATCAAGTCCCCCAAATTGGTCATGAAGTCCCCCAAACTATGGTCATCAAGTCCCCCAAACTATGGACATCAAGTCTCCCAAACTGGTCATCAAGTCCCCCAAACTGGTCATCAAGTCCCCCAAACTATGGTCATCAAGTCCCCCAAACTATGGTCATCAAGTCCCCCAAACTGGTCATCAAGTCCCCCAAACTATGGTCATCAAGTCCCCCAAACTATGGTCATCAAGTCCCCCAAATTGGTCATCAAGTCCCCCAAACTATGGTCATCAAGTCCCCCAAACTATGGTCATCAAGTCCCCCAAACTATGGTCATCAAGTCCCCCAAACTATGGTCATCAAGTCCCCCTGTTTCTGCTGGTTGTCCTGAATTCTAATTCCACAATCAACCAGTTCTTTAAAATGAGCCAAGTCTTCAGGTGTCTGTCCTTTGGAAAATGAATGATATGATACCTTGGACAGAAAAACCATCACACAAAGGGGCGGTCCAGGACCAGGTTTAGGAAACACTACCGCAGCACATCAAACATCACAAACATAGGGCTTCAGGCTGTACATCACACCCGAGGTTAGTCAAACCCAAAGGGGTTAGCCAGGCTGCACCATGTTGATGTGTGAGTGGGAATGTTGAGCAGTCTTCTGGTAGTCGGAGCTGTGGATCATGTTTTCAGGGTTGAGGTCAAATCCATTTAAATTCCAGTCAATTCAGGAAGTACACCGGACTTCCAATTCCAATTCTCTTTAATGCTTTTCAAGTGGACACCTTGGAATTGGAATTTTGTTTACTTTCGGAATTGACTGGAATTTCAATAGAATTGACCCCAACCCTGCGTGTTTTATCACTCTGAACTGAGATCATCACTGCCACTACCAATGAGACGGCCGATCAGTCACGTCATATCATATGGTCAAATTTCCTTTGTAACTGACAGGCACTAGGATCTTTTGGCTGTACACTAAGAAAATATCCATCTCTCAGATAACACTAACACACCCATTACTATACTGATGTTACCATTCATTTTTTTGCAAAGCTATAGGAGAGGAAAGTGCGTTGTACTTGTAACTCCCCTTGGGGACAGTGAGGATATCCGGGACAGACTAGAAGCAGCTTCACAAACAGTGCTATGCTCAGGAGAGCCTGGGGAGGAAAACCATTTATTTAGGGTCGCTTCAGCTCTTGATCACTTAGCAGGGCGGTGACAGAGGCTTTGTTGCTAGGGAACTGTGGGTTGGGTGGACAGGAAGTGGTCTGGATAAGTGAATCAAAACCTCCACTGGACTACTTCCTTTCTCTCTCCTTCTCCATCCCTCCCTCCCTCTCTCTCATCTCTCTCCTCACACTCAAGATTAAATCATCAGTTTTCTTCATATCTTTAATGTCAGCTGATGATGAGGGTGGCCAAAGAGCCAAGGGCTAACTGGACACAGACTGGCATACAGTCTAATATGCTTCCTTGTCAACGTTGGAGAAACAGGAAAAATAAACAAGCAAATAAACAAGATAATGAGTGATGTCCATCCACAGCACTCCCCAGCCATCCACGACCTTTCACCTATTGAGTCCAAATCCCTGCACTTCCTGTGTCTCAGCCAATGAGAGCTTCCGGTTTGGTTGGGCCCAGTCTCAGTAGAAGGAGTACTGGTTCTCCACAGCTCTGGCCCTGCGTGTTCCGTCTGTGTCTTGGTAGTCCTCTGAGGCACCACTAGAGGGATCTAACAGACGTTCGGAGCTGTTGCTCCTGCTAACCAGCCCCCCTCCTCCTCCGCTGCCTGGCTCACCACGGGAGAGGGAAGGAAGGGCGGTGGGTGAGGATGAGGAGCTGGAGGAGAGCGGGGTGTCGGAGGGGGGCGCCGCCGGCTGTGAAACCCCAGGGAGGTGAAGGGTTGGCTGGGCTGGGTCAGTCCGGCAACCTTGGTCCCTGGGTGGGGTGGGGAGCTGAGGCACGGTCACATCTGTGTGAGAGCAATAGAGAGAGACGGGATATCTGTCTGTAAGAAAAAGAGCAGAGTGTTTAGAGGCCTGATACAGTTCATTTTATGAACATATCTTTCATTAAAATGCCAAAGATCAAGTGTTGACCTCCTCCTATACGATCACCTCTCTTGGTGGAACAACAACAACAACAACTGCAGTGACACTGATCAAGACAAGGCTGAGCAGTGTGTATCAATGAAGCCTTTTACACACTGCATCAACAACCCACTCACTGTGTGTGTGCAGGCCCAGGGCCCGGGGGAAACAGAGGGTCTCTTTGTGAGTGTCGGGGGCCTGTATGCAAAAACCCTGTGGTATAATCACCCCCTCGCTCTCTCTCTCCGCTGTCTCCCTCCCTCTCTCCCCTGTCTCCCCCCTGTCTCCCCTGCACAGGAGGGCATTCATCCCCTGCCAGGTGTGGGGGGGAGGTGGGAGGGGGGACAGGACAAGTACACTGGGTTTCTGTGTTGGCTTCCTCAGTCTAAGGACTAACCTGTAGTTAAAACCTTTAAGACTGAGGAAAACATCAATCTGTCTGTGAGGTCATCCAACTGAAAGGTTGCTGTTTTTTTTCAAGCGATTTACAAGACTGTCATCTTCAATATCAAGGGTCAGATTGAGCTACCCAGGGGCTGTGATACATGCAGTCAGAACTGATCAGAAATGACAAACTGTTTCTAGAAGGACATTCTCAACATTGGAGCTTTAGATTGATTATACAGTTGAAGTCGGAAGTTTACATACACCTTAACCAAATACATTTAAAGATTTTCACAATTCCTGACATTTAATCCTAGTAAACATTCCCTGTTTTAGGTCAGTTAGGATCACCACTTTATTTTAGAATGTTAATTGTCAGAATAATAGTAGAGAGAATGATTTATTTCAGCTTTTATTTCTTTCATCACATTCCCAGTGGGTCAGAAGGTTACATACACTCAATTAGTATTTGGTAGCATTGCCTTTAAATTGTTTAACTTGGTTCAAACGTTTCTGGTAGCCTTCCACAAGCTTCCCACAATAAGTTGGATGAATTTTGGCCCATTCCTCCTGACAGAGCTGGTGTAACTGAGTCAGGTTTGTAGGCCTCCTTGCTCGCACACACTTTTTCAGTTCTGCCCACAGATTTTCTATAGGATTGAGGTCAGGGCTTTGTGATGGCCACTCCAATACCTTGACTTTGTTGTCCTTAAGCCATTTTGCCACAACTTTGGAAGTATGCTTGGTGTCATTGTCCTTTTGGAAGACCCATTTGCGACCAAGCTTTAACTTCCTGACTGATGTCTTGAGATGTTGCTTCAATATATCCACATCATTTTCCTTCCTCATGATGCCATCTATTTTGTGAAGTGCACCAGTCCCTCCTGCAGCAAAGCACCCCCACAGCATGATGCTGCCACCCCCGTGCTTCACGGTTGGGATGGTGTTCTCCGGCTTGCAAGCAACCCCTTTTTCCTTTAAACATAACAATGGTCATTATGGCCAAACAGTTCTATTTTTGTTTCATCAGACCAGAGGACATTTCTCCAAAAAATATGATATTTGTCCCCATGTGCAGTTGCAAACCGTAGTCTGGCTTTTTTATGGTGGTTTTGGAGTAGTGGCTTCTTCCTTGCCGAGTGGCCTTTCAGGTTATGTCGATATAGGACTCGTTTTACTGTGGATATAGATACTATTGTACCTGTTTCCTCCAGCATCTTCACAAGGTCCTTTGCTGTTGTTCTGGGATTGATTTTCACTTTTCGCACCAAAGTACGTTCATCTCTAGGAGACAGAACGCATCTCCTTCCTGAGCGGTATGACGGCTGCGTGGTCCCATGGTGTTTATACTTGCGTACTATTGTTTGTACAGATGAATGTGGTACCTTCAGGCGTTTGGAAATTGCTCCCAAGGATGAACCAGACTTGTGGAGGTCTACAAATTTTTTTCTGAGGTCTTTGCTGATTTCTTTTGATTTTCCCATGATGTCAAGCAAAGAGGCACTGAGTTTGAAGGCAGGCCTTGAAATACATCCACAGGTACACCTCCAATTGACTCAAAATATGTCAATTAGCCTATCAGAAGCTTCTAAAGCCATGACATCATTTTCTGGAATTTTCCAAGCTGTTTAAAGGCACAGTCAACTTAGTGTATGTGAACTTCTGACCCACTGGAATTGTGATACAGTGAATTATAAGTGAAATAATCTGTCTGTAAACAATTGTTGGAAAAATTACATGTGTCATGCACAAAGTAGATGTCCTAATCGACTTGCCAAAACGATAGTTTGTTAACAAGACATTTGTGGAGTGGTTGAAAAACAAGTTTTAATGACTCCATCCTAAGTGTACGTAAACTTCCGACTTCAACTGTATGTAAACCTATGCTGTGCACGTTCATGTTTAGGGGTGTATGTGTGTGTGTGTTGGGCATACCTGTGGGGGTGTGTTGGGCGTACCTGTGGGGGTGTGTTGGGCGTACCTGTGGGGGTGTGTTGGGCGTACCTGTTGGGGTGTGTTGGGCGTACCTGTGGGGGTGTGTTGGGCGTACCTGTGGGGGTGTGTTGGGCATACCTGTGGGGGTGTGTTGGGCATACCTGTGGGGGTGTGTTGGGCGTACCTGTTGGGGTGTGTTGGGCATACCTGTGGGGGTGTGTTGGGCGTACCTGTGGGGGTGTGTTGGGCGTACCTGTTGGGGTGTGTTGGGCATACCTGTGGGGGTGTGTTGGGCGTACCTGTGGGGGTGTGTTGGGCGTACCTGTGGGGGTGTGTTGGGCGTACCTGTGGGAGTGTGTTGGGCGTACCTGTGGGGGTGTGTTGGGCATACCTGTTGGGGTGTGTTGGGCGTACCTGTTGGGGTGTGTTGGGCATACCTGTGGGGGTGTGTTGGGCGTACCTGTGGGGGTGTGTTGGGCGTACCTGTTGGGGGTGTGTTGGGCATACCTGTGGGGGTGTGTTGGGCGTACCTGTGGGGGTGTGTTGGGCGTACCTGTGGGGGTGTGTTGGGCGTACCTGTGGGGGTGTGTTGGGCGTACCTGTGGGGGTGTGTTGGGCGTACCTGTGGGGGTGTGTTGGGCGTACCTGTGGGGGTGTGTTGGGCGTACCTGTGGGGGTGTGTTGGGCGTACCTGTGGGGGTGTGTTGGGCGTACCTGTGGGGGTGTGTTGGGCATACCTGTGGGGGTGTGTTGGGCGTACCTGTGGGGGTGTGTTGGGCGTACCTGTGGGAGTGTGTTGGGCGTACCTGTGGGGGTGTGTTGGGCGTACCTGTGGGGGTGTGTTGGGCGTACCTGTGGGGGTGTGTTGGGCGTACCTGTGGGGGGTGTGTTGGGCGTACCTGTGAGGGTGGGTTGGGCGTACCTGTGGGGGTGTGTTGGGCGTACCTGTGGGGGTGTGTTGGGCGTACCTGTGGGGGTGTGTTGGGCGTACCTGTGGGGGTGTGTTGGGCGTACCTGTGGGGGTGTGTTGGGCGTACCTGTGGGGGTGGGTTGGGCGTACCTGTGGGGGTGTGTTGGGCGTACCTGTGGGGGTGTGTTGGGCGTACCTGTGGGGGGGGTGTTGGGCGTAACTGTGGGGGTGTGTTGGGCATACCTGTGGGGGTGTGTTGGGCGTACCTGTGGGGGTGTGTTGGGCGTACCTGTGGGGGTGTGTTGGGCGTACCTGTGGGGGTGTGTTGGGCGTACCTGTGCGGGTGTATGTGTCACAGGAGGTTGGTGGCAACTTAATTGGGGAGGATGGGCTCGTGGTAATGCTGGAGCGGAATTCGTGCTTCTACATCACTCTTTGGGGTTTTAGGCTGGGTTTCTGTATAAGCACTTTGTGACATCTGCTGATGTAAAAAAGGGCTGTTTAAATACATTTGATTTGATAGTGGAATGGTATCAAATACATCAAACACATGGTTTCCATTCGCTCCGTTCCAGCCATTATTATGAGCCGTCCTCCCCTCAGCAGCCTCCATTGATGTGTGTGTTGGGCGTACCTGTGGGGGTACCCTGCACTTGAACGTAGGAACGCAGTGTGATGTCAGCGGAGCCCCCTGACTCCAGAGGGATGGGGTGGGCATGGAAGTGCCTGAGCATGTCTGACACGGTGTGGAACCACAGATGATGAACATGACACTGGCCGTTACCATTCACCGACAGACGCAGATGCTGGGGGGAAGAAAGAGGGGGAGAGAGGGAGAGGGGGAGAGAGGGAGAGGGAGAGGGGAGAGAGAGGGGGGGAGGGGGGGGGAGGGGAGAGGGCGAGGGGGGGGAGAGGGAGAGGGGGAGAGGGCGAGGGGGGGGGAGAGGGAAGGGGGAAAGGGCGAGGGGGGGGGAGAGGGGGAGAGGGCGAGGGGAGAGTGCGAGGGGGGGGGGGAGGGGGAGAGTGCGAGGGGGGGGAGGAGAGAGGGGAGAGGGGGAGAGGGCGAGGGGGAGAGGGCGAGGGGGGGGGGGAGAGAGAGAGAGAGACAGAGGGAATTGTGAGTAATATACACTGAGTATACCAAACATTAGGAACACCTTCCTAATATTGAGTTGCAGCCCCTCCCCTCAGAACAGCCTCAATTCGTCGGGGCATGGAGTCTACAAGTTGTCGAAAGCGTTAATAATAATAATAATAATAATATTCCATTTAGCAGACGCTTTTATCCAAAGCGACTTACAGTCATGCGTGCATACATTTTTTTTGTGTATGGGTGGTCCCGGGGATCGAACCCACTACCCTGGCGTTACAAGCGCCGTGCTCTACCAGCTGAGCTACAGAGGACCACAGGGATGCTGGCCCCATGTTGACTCCAATGCCTCCCACAGTTGTGTCAAGTTGGCTGGATGTCCTTTGGGTGGTGGACCATTCTTGATACACACTGCGCCGGTACTACCATACCCTGTTCAAAGACACTTCAATATTTTGTCTTGCCCATTCACCCTCTGAATGACACAATCCATGTCTCAACTGTCTCAAGGCTTAAACATGTCTCCTTCATCTACACTGATTGAAGTGGATTTAACAGGTGACATCAATAAGGGATCATAGCTTTCACCTGGATTCACCTGGTCAGTCTATGTCATGGGAAAGAGCAGGTGTTCCTAATGTTTTGTACACTCAATGTAGAGTTTCACTTCTAACGCTGTACATTAATATATATATATATATATATAGAGAGAGATAGAGGAGTAGAGAGGGGGAAAGCAGGACATAATGCTGAGCTGTTGGAGGAAAGCCACAGAATGCCAAGACTGACACCGGAGGAGAGGAGGAGAGGAGGCGTTCACGAGCCCTGACTTCCTGAGCACTGGCCAGCAGGATGTTGGGGGATCACGTTACCATTGGGACATCAGGGTGACATGCCTCCTGTACTGTACTGCACACCGCCACAGACCTGCTGCCTGCGGCCCCAGAGGGCATGGGAACAGACCTGTCTGTCTGCAGCCCCAGAGGGAAAGGGAACAGACCTGTCTGTCTGCAGCCCCAGAGGGCATGGGAACAGACCTGTCTGTCTGCAGCCCCAGAGGGCATGGGAACAGACCTGTCTGTCTGCAGCCCCAGAGGGCATGGGAACAGACCTGTCTGTCTGCAGCCCCAGAGGGCATGGGAACAGACCTGTCTGTCTGCAGCCCCAGAGGGAAAGGGAACAGACCTGTCTGTCTGCAGCCCCAGAGGGAAAGGGAACAGACCTGTCTGTCTGCAGCCCCAGAGGGAAAGGGAACAGACCTGTCTGTCTGCAGCCCCAGAGGGAAAGGGAACAGACCTGTCTGTCTGCAGCCCCAGAGGGCATGGGAACAGACCTGTCTATCTGCAGCCCCAGAGGGCATGGGAACAGACCTGTCTGTCTGCAGCCCCAGAGGGAAAGGGAACAGACCTGTCTGTCTGCAGCCCCAGAGGGAAAGGGAACAGACCTGTCTGTCTGCAGCCCCAGAGGGAAAGGGAACAGACCTGTCTGTCTGCAGCCCCAGAGAGAAAGGGAACAGACCTGTCTGTCTGCAGCCCCAGAGGGAAAGGGAACAGACCTGTCTGTCTGCAGCCCCAGAGGGAAAGGGAACAGACCTGTCTGTCTGCACCCTGAAGAAGGCACAGTGATGCCGAAATGTTGGTGTTTTACCTAATAAATTACTGGGAGTTTATACATATGGAGTGTGAGACTCTCTTTGTTTTTGTAGGAACACTCCTCTCTCTACCAGAGGATACAACCCAATCCCAAATCAACCCCTAAGCCCTAAGCCCTATGCACTTGTAGAGATCTGACTGGATTTGACAGGTGTAAGCAATATGGTAATAGCTCCACCTTGCCCTGTGATAGGCTAGGTGGAAGTTACACCATATTGCTTATACCAATCAAATCCTCTCAGATCTCCACAAGTGCATAGGGCTTAGGGGTCAATTTGGGATTTGGCCTACCCTACAATACACTTTGCATGCCTATAATATCCATATCAATAGTATGGTCTGGGCTAAACAGGGAAATTCGAAATAGTCTGTTGGCATCCTGTCCTGTTTCCATCAGTTGGCATCTTGTGATTTAAGATCAGTGCATGTGAAGGGGAGAAAGAAGAGATAGCCTGGGATTGGCTGACCTTGGCGTTGCCTTGCATGTGATTGGCTCACCTTAGCTTTGCCCTGGAAGTTAAAGGTGAGGACGAACTCCCCCGGCCGTGTCTCGCTTTGGCGAATCACAAACAGCCCGTGGCTCCTAGCTCCGCCCGCCAGCACCAGTTGGGCCGCCCGTACGCGTGACAATGTCCCGTGGAACCATGGGTAGCCTGCCAGGCTGGGGTCCGCCTCCGTCTCGGTTGCCCCCTCACATGGAACCCCTAAAGGGAGGAGAAAAAGAGGATAGACCACACCCCCTCTGACCTCTGACCTCTTCAAACTAACTGTATCTGTGTTAATACAGAATAATAATATGACTGTATATATATATGTGTGTGTATGTGTGTGTGTGTGTGTGTGTGTGTGTGTGTGTGTGTGTGTGTGTGTGTGTGTTAGACAGGTGTGTGTCTTTCCAAAATAATGTCCAATCAATTGAATTTACCACAGGTGGACTCTAATCAAGTTGTAGAAACATCTCAAGGATGATCAGTGGAAACAGGATGCACCTGAGCTCAATTTCGAGTCTCATAGCAAAGGGTCTGAATACTTACGTAAATGTGATATTTTTAATGTGCTAAGAATTTCTAAAAACCTTTGTCATTATGGGGTATTGTGTGTAGATTGATGAGGGGAAAAAAACTATTTAATCAATTTTAGAATAAGGCTGTAACGTAACAAAATGTGGAAAAAGTCAAGGGGTCTGAATACTTTTCGAATGTGTGTGTTAATATAGAATAATGATATGACTGTATACACTGTATACACCAGTCAAAAGTTTGGACACACCTACTCATTCAAGGGTTTTTCTTAATTTTTACTATTTTCTACATTGTAGAATAATAGTGAAGACATCAAAACTATGAAATAACACATATGGAATCATGTAGTAACCAAAAAAGTGTTAAACAAATCAAAATATATTTTAGATTGTAGATTCTTCAAAGTAGCCACACTTTGCCTTGATGACAGCTTTGCACACTCTTGGCATTATCTCAACCAGCTTCACCTGGAATGCTTTTCCAACAGTCTTGAAGGAGTTCCCACATATGATTAGCACTTATTGGCTGCTTTTCCTTCACTCTGCCGTCCGACTCATCCCAAACCATCTCAATTGGGTTGAGGTCGGGGGATTGTGAAGGTCAGGTCATCTGATGCAGCACTCAATCACTCTCCTTCTTGGTAAAATAGTACTTACATAGCCTGGAGGTGTGTTGGGTCATTGACCTGTTGAAAAATAAATGATAGTCCCACTAAACCCAAACCAGATGGGGTGGCATATCGCTGCAGAATGCTGTGGTAGCCATGCTGGTTAAGTGTGCCTTGAATTCCAAATAAATCACAGACAGTGTCACCAGCAAAGCACCCCCACACCATAACACCTCCTCCTCCATGCTTTACGGTGGGAAATAAACATGCGGATATCATCCGTTCACCCACATCGCGTCTCACAAAGCCATGGCGGAACCAAACTCTCCAATTTTGACTCCAGACCAAAGGACACATTTCCATCAGTCTAATGTCCATTGCTCGTGTTTCTTGGCCCAAGCAGGTCTCTTCTTCTTATTGGTGTCCTTTAGTAGTGGTTTCTTTGCAGCAATTCGACCATGAAGGCCTGATTCACACAGTCCCCTCTGAATAGTTGATGTTGAGATCTGTCTGTGACTTGAACTCTGTGAAGCATTTATTTGAGCTGCAATTTCTGAGGCTGGTAACTCTAATGAACTTATCCTGTGCAGCAGAGGTAACTCTGGGTCTTCCATTCATGTTGCGGTCCTCATGAGAGCCAGTTTCATCATAGCGCTTGATGGGTTTTGCGACTGCACTTGAAGAAACTTTCAAAGTTCTTGAAATGTTCTGTATTGACTGACCTTAATGTCTTAAAGTAATGATGGACTGTCATTTCTCTTTGCTTGTTTGAGCTGTTCTTGCCATAATATAGACTTGGTATTTTACCAAATCTTCTGTATACCACCCCTACCTTATCACAACACAACTGATTGGCTCAATCGCATTAAGAAGGAAATAAATTCCACAAATTAACTTAAGAAGGCACATCTGTTAATTGAAATGCATTCCAGGTGACTACCTCATGAAGCCGGTTGAGAGAATGCCAAGAGTGTGCAAAGCTGTCATCAAGGCAAAGGATGGCTATTTGAAGAATCTCATATATAAAATATATTTAGATTTATTTAACACTCTTTTGGTTACTACATGATTCCATATGTGTTATTTCATAGTTTTGATTTCTTCACTATTATTCTACAATGTAGAAAATAGTAAAAATAAAGAAAAACCCTTGAATGAGTAGGTGTGTCCAAACATTTGACTGCTATTGTATGTATGTGTTAATATAGAATAATGATATGCCATTAAGCAGACACTTTTATCCAGGGGTGAAAGTAGAATTCATTTATTCCCGGTACGGGACCTCCTATATGTGCACACGCTTGTCCATGCACCCACATTTTTTATGGGCCTAATCATAGAATTATATATGAAAGTCCCTATGAATTCAATATGATTTCTGTGGGCCTAGTTGTAAAGATTTGTAATTTAACTTTTTTAAACTTTTAAACCTTTTATTGTGGCATAAACACAACCAGTCATGATGCTTTCATCTGATTGTCAAACAGTCACTTCAAAAGTCTCCTTTAATAGGCTACCCATGCAGGTTCATCCACTTGCGACATACAGTTGAAGTTGGAAGTTTACGTACAAGTAGGTTGGAGTCATTAAAACTAGTTTTTCAACCAATCCACACATTTCTTGTTAACAAACTATAGTTTTGGCAAGTCGGTTAGGATATCTACTTTGTGCATGACACAAGTCATTTTTCCAACAATTGTTTACAGACAGATTATTTCACTTATAATTCACTGTATCACAATTCCAGTGGGTCGGAAGTTTACATACACTAAGTTGATTGTGCCTTTAAACAGCTTGGAAAATTCCAGAAAATGATGTCATGGCTTTAGAAGCTTCTGATAGGCTGATTGACATCATTTGAGTCAATTAGAGGTGTACCTGTGGATGTATTTCAAGGCCTACCTTCAAACTCAGTGCCTCTTTGCTTGACATCATGGGAAAATCAAAAGAAATCAGCCAAGACCTCAGAAAAAAAATTGTAGAGCTCCACAAGTCTGGTTCATCCTTGGGAGCAATTTCCAAACGCCTGAAGGTACCACGTTCATCTGTACAAACAATAGTATGCAAGTATAAACACCATGGGACCACGCAGCTGTCATACCGCTCAGGAAGGAGACGCGTTCTGTCTTTTAGAGATTAACGTACTTTGGTGCGAAAAGTGCAAATCAATCCCAGAACAACAGCAAAGGACTTTGTGAAGATAATGGAGGAAACAGGTACAAAAGTATCTATATCCACAGTAAAACGAGTCCTATATCGACATAACCTGAAAGGCCGCTCAGCAAGGAAGAAGCCACTGCTCCAAAACCGCCATAAAAAAGCCAGACTATGGTTTGCAACTGAACATGGGGACAAAGATCATACTTTTCGGAGAAATGTGCTCTGGTCTGATGAAACAAAAATAGAACTGTTTGGCCATAATGACCATCGTTATGTTTGGAGGAAAAAGGGGGCACTTGCAAGCCGAAGAACATCATCCCAACCGTGAAGCACGGGGGTGGTAGCATCATGCTGTGGGGGTGCTTTGCTGCAGGAGGGACTGGTGCACTTCATAAAATAGATAGCATCATGACGAAGGAAAATTATGTGGATATATTGAAGCAACATCTCAAGACATCAGTCAGGAAGTTAAAGCTTGGTCGGAAATGGGTCTTCCAAATGGACAAATGACCCCAAGCATACTTCCAAAGTTGTGGCAAAATGGCTTAGGGACAACAAAGTCAAGGTATTGGAGTGGCCATCACAAAGCCCTGACCTCAATCCTATAGAAAATCTGTGGGCAGAACTGAAATAGTGTGTGCGAGCAAGGAGGCCTACAAACCTGACTCAGTTACACCAGCTCTGTCAGGAGGAATGGGCCAAAATTCACCCATGTTATTGTGGGAAGCTTGTGGAAGGCTACCAGAAATGTTTGACCCAATTTAAACAATTTAAAGGAAATGCTACCAAATACTAATTGAGTGTATGTAAACCTCTGACCCACTGGGAATGTGATGAAATAAATAAAAGCTGAAATAAATCACTCTCTATACAATTATTCTGACATTTCACATTCTAAAAATGAAGTGGTGATCCTAACTGACCTAAGACAGGACATTTTTACAAGGATTACATGTCAGGAATTGTGAAAAACTGAATTTAAATGTATTTGGCTAAGGTGTATGTAAACTTCCGACTTCAACCGTATTTCTAGCCTCCAAACAGTGCCTAGGTCTTAATTGAAAGGAAAAAATCAAAAACCCGCAGACACTCGGCCCCCCATGGAATGTTGATCCCCCTGGTGTAATGACAGCGATTGTCATTACGCCAGAATGTACACTGCAGTCTGTGTGTCTCGGTGTCGGCAACTCATCTCTGCCTAGGCCAAACTTCTGTGCAGGCTATACCACCCGTTTTCATTCAATCATTTTTATATTGATAATAATAATAATAATATGCCATTTTAGCAGACGCCTTTATCCAAAGCGACTTACAGACATGTACAATCATTTTTATGCCTCTGACATTTGCCAATGATAAAAAGTGGTGTAATAGCCGACAGTTTTCTTGGCATTTTGTTTTTAATTATTGTGATAGGCTCATGTTTTACCGATACGGCGTACCGTACGTATTTATTTTTACGGATGCCGGACCGTACCACCTTACATTCACCCCTGGTTTTATCCAAAGCGACAGTCATGCGTCCATACAGTTTACGTATGGGTGGTCCCGGGAATCAAACCGACTATCCTGGCATTGTAAGCACGCTCTACCAGCTGAGCTACAGTTCCGCTTACCTGTGGTGGGGCTTTTCCCCTGGGCCTCTGGGGACTGGAGGAAGTGCTCCAGAGGGACGTGGGAGGGGTGCTGGGTGAAGGGTAGTTCTCTGCAGCGGACAGAGGGGGCGCTGTACAGTTCTGCTGCTGCTGCTGCTGTTGTTGAGCCACAGGATCTCTCAGAGACGTGATGGACACCTGAACACAAACACAACGACATAAGATACATACATTACACAGCAGCCAGATTGACAGCACATCCATTTCCTCTCAAAAGGCAATGTGTGAGGTTAGGTTACGTGTGTGTGTGTGTGTGTGTGTCCGTGTGTCCTTGCGTGTGTGTTTAGTCTCACCCTCTGAAAGAAGCTCACAGCTGCAGGAGGCCACCATGGAAAACTCTTTAGACGCCTGGCCGTGGGGACATGACGCCAGCTCAATGTCATCTCCACTGTCCCTGTGTCACACACACACACACACCACACACACCACATATACAGGTAAACCTACAGGGACACACACACAATATATTTCTGTTTATGGCCGTCCAAAAACATGCCTGGACTGAACAGACAAACTCACTGTAACAGAGTGTGAAACTGTGTGAGAGGGGGATCTGTCAAAAACTCTCTTACAGGGTGATTAATGACTGTGTGCTGTTCAGTCCTCTCCCTCCCTCCCTCCCTCCCTCCCTCCTCCTTAGTGAACAGTAAATATTTATCCCTCCATTTACCCAGGGTCCATGCAGTCCTGGATGTCAGCGACCCAGGAGTTTTTTTGCAGCGAGTCGATGGTCTCCAGGATATATTCACCTCCATTTTCCACCTGTGGAGAGAACACACCAAACCACAGAACAGAACAGTTACAGTGTGAGTCCAGAGGAGAGACGGAGAGAGTTCTGAACACACTGCAAGAAAGTCAAGTAGGCAGTTAGTTTGGTTTGTCAGGTCAGGTAGTGTCTATAAGGTCGTGTTGTGAGAGGTAAAACAGGTAGAAGACAGGGTAGTGTTGTGGTTTCTTACCCTTACCTTCAGGACGAAGGTGTTGTCTTTGTCAGGCATCTCCAGGGGCATGGTGGTCCTCACCTCCATGATGGCAGACAGAGGGATGCTCACCTTGGGCTTTGACGACTGTTGGACACACAGAGGCACACGCACGCACGCACGCACGCACGCACGCACGCACGCACACACACACACACACACACACACATGGATCCCATTCCTTTTAGATTTCAATTGAAAAGTGCTCTGTGTGTGTGTGTGTGTGTGTGTGTGTCTGTGTGTGTGTAGTGGTGCCACCATTTTAGCGCAGCCCCCCCTTTCTCGGGATTCCAGCGCTCAGCCTTGGCCCCTTTGGGCCCCCCGGGGGAAGACGAAAGTCTGGGGGGACCATCTTCCCCGCCGGGGTCCCCCCTCCCACTCCCTTTGGGCCCTTCGGGCCCCCCCCGGATCCCCCCGCAGGGTCTGGTTCAGGGAGGCGTGGCGGTGCCAGATCTCTTTCACCCCGTCCACCACACACAGACTCATGTTCCTCAGAGAGAATCCCTTTTTGAAGCGGGCCTTGGGGTGTCCCACTGACACGTCCTCCGAGCTGCGAGACTGGCCCAGAGCAGAGGGCTTGTGGGCCGGCTGGGGGGCGCGGGAGGTGGTCATGGAGGAGGAACTCCCTCCCCCTATCCCTCCTACTCCTAAACCTCCACTGTCCATACTGTCCAGGGATTCGCTAGAGGCACCGGCGTCCTTGCGCCGCTGGTAGAGGTCGTTGTGTCTGTAGGGCAGAGGGCAGCCCTGGATGCCCAGGAAGGGAACGATGCTGTATTTGGGGGGAGCGTTGGAGCCGTCGTCCCCTGGCGAGAGCGAGGCCTGGTGGTCCCTGGCCTGGGCGAGAGCAGCAGAGAAACACTCCAGGAAGTGTCTGGCGAAGTGCTGCGAGAAGCTGCTGTCGGCGCCCGGTGAGTCGTAGCACGGGTTCTCCGTCAGGAAGCGGCGGAACTTGTGGGCAAAGTCGGAGGCGGAGGCGCGGGCATGGAGCTCGCAGAACTCTCGCCAGTCGGGCAGCGGGCACGAGAACTCCGGGCTGCCTGGCACCACCGCGCCGTTCATCACTGGGCCATGCCAACCCGCCCGGGAGAGGCTGAGAGAGAAGAGAGAGGGGAAGGAAGAGAGAGAGATGTTAGAGAGAGTGTGGGGGGGGGGGGGGGGGGGGGGGGGTCTGTCACCAATAGCAGGGAAAGAGACATTACAGTGAGAATGTGTGGATCCTAGCATTTACAATGACAAAGCGCCAACAGAATAACAGTCCCTGTCGTGTGAACAACAGAAGACGTGGGAATGAAAACAGACTGCTGAGGCTGGGAGATCGTGAGCGTGTTTGTCATTTCCCTAAATAGAGGCGACAGCCCCAGTCCTCCTCTCTCTATGGAAGAACGATCTCTCCACACAGCCCTGCAGCACTGACACATATCACAATCACACGGCTCATACCAGCTGACATCATCTGTTGTAAAGAGGTTATTGATATGGACATGACTAGGGCCTAGATTGAATCTGCAGAAAATGATTTCCTTTTAAAAATGTTTATCCTGCTGTGTTCATCTAATCAAAAATACATCTTTATCCATTTATGTTTAGTAGCAGTGTTTGGTTTGGAATTCTACAGATGACTCAAGCACAGATAAATGTTTGTTCATCAGCTAAAAACAATCCAATTAAAGAGGAATTTAGAAAAATATAAGAACTATCCGTTTGTCAGCTAGAAATCTATCATTCCAATGCCTAAACTCATCTGTTCCTCCTGAGTTCTTTCTCCCTCTTTCCCCTTTGCCTGTAGGCAGCCTTATTCCTCCTCTGCTACTGAAGATACTCATCCCTCTCTCATCCCTCTCTCATCCCTCTCTCATCCCTCTCTCATCCCTCTCTCATCCCCCCATCTCTCTCTGCCTCACTGGGTGTATGACTCAGCCCTGTCCCTCCCTCTCTGGCCCGTGCCAGGCCCAGGCTGTGCTGAACCACATCGGATCACACACAAACGCTCTCTCTCCAACTCTCCAGGTAGCCTAGCGTTTAAGACTGTTGGGCCAGTAACCGAAAGGTTCGAATCCCAGAGCCAACTAGGTGAAAAATATGTCGATGTGCTCTTGGGCAAGGCACTTACCCCTAATTGCTCCTGTAAGTCGCTCTGGATAAGAGTGTCTGCTAAATGACTAAAATGTCAACTCTCTCTCTGTGGTTTGTTATGCAGAGAAAAAACCCAACACTCCAATTCAGCTAGCTCCCAAAGTGTCAGCTCAATCCTCTAGCCCCTATACACCTTAATGCATGGGGCTCTCTGAAAAGGGGGGGGATTTTTCGGTTTAAGGGTTTCTTTACTATTTTGGGGTCCTCCCGGACTAAGGTGGGGGGGGGTTTTTCTGCATGGGGCTTTCCCGGGGACTAAAGTTGGGGGGGTCTTTAACGGGACGGGTGGCCTTTTGCAATACGGGTTTGGGGGGAATTTTAAAAACCCAATGGTTTGGGGGTTTTTTTTAAAAGTGTTTTTTTTAATTTCTCAACCGCCCAAAAAAGTTCCCATTTCCAACCCAAGGTGAAGAGTTTAAAGCGATACACAGCTAATTTATACACGGGCTCCCTCCATCCCCTCCTGAGTTTTGTCATTTTAAAAAAAAAATTTTCATTTACACAAAAACTTTCCTCCTCTAAAGGGAAACAAATTTCCCTGGAACAAGCCTGCAGTTTGAGCCCAATTTAGTACCCTATTATAATTTTTCTCTCTCATTTCTTTTTCTTCTCCCCTTGGTCTCCCCTGCGTATCTTTTGGGCTTCTGTCTCTATTTTTTTGGTTTCTGTTCTTTTTGTTATGTCTTCTCTCTTTGTATATCTTTTCTTCTCTCTCATATCTTACCCTTCACTTTTTCCTCTTCTAAAATTCCTTCTCCCCTTTTTACCCCTTTTCTTCTCCCCCCTCTTTTAGCCTTCTTCTTTTCTATTTTTTCTCTCTCTCTCCTTTCTTTTTGTCTCTGTCTATGCCCGTTTTGGTCTCGTTCTGTTCTGTCTTGTTCTTCCCCTCTCCTCCCTTCCATTACTATCCTCCCCCTTCCTTTCCTTCCCTCCTCTCCTTAAATCCAACCAAAGGGGGTTCCTCCTCTAATCTCCCACCCTTTTGAACCCTTTTGCTTGGTAGAGGAAAAATGAGCTGATTAATCAAAAAACCCAATTAAGGGGAAAACCCGGGCCCAAAGCCCGGGGAGAACCAACTTCCCGGGTAAAACCGGTTTTAAGGGACACCCAAAAAAACCCCCTTTTTTAAAGGGGAAAAAAAGAATGGGGAAGGGCCCCCCAAGGGGGGATTTAAAAAAGATAGGGGAAATGAGGGGGGAGGTGGGGGGAAAAGGGGGAGGGGAGGTTGGGGGGGAAAGGTAGGAGGAGAGGGGGGAAAGTGGGGAAGGGGGAGGGGGAGGGGGGGGGGTTTAGGGGGGGGTTTAAGGAGGAGAGGAGGGAGAGGGAAGGGGATGAGAGGGGGAAGGTAGGGGGGGGAGGGGGGGAGAGGAGAGGAGGAAAAGGGGGGGGTTTGGAGGAGGGGGAGGGAGGATGGGGAGAGGGGGGGGGGGAGGAGAGGAGGGAGAGGAAGGAGGAGAGGGGGAGGGGGGGGGAGGAGAGGAGGGAGAGGAGAGGATGGAGGGGGGGGGGTGGGAGGGGGGAGGGAGGGAGATGAGGGGTTTGGAGGGGAGGGGGAGGGGGGGGGAGGGGGGATGGGGGGAGGAGGGAGGGGGGGAAAGGTAGGGGAAAGAGGAGGGAGATGAGAGGGGGAAAGGGGGGGGAAGGGGGGGGAGGAGGGGAGAGGAGGGCGAGGGGGAGGGGAAAAGAGGGGGAGGGGACGGGAGGGGGGAGGGAGGAGGGGGGGGGGCGAGGGGAGGAGGGGGAAAGGGAGGGGGAGAGGAGGAGAGGGGGGAAGGGTAGGAGGAGAGGGGAGATGAGGGATGGGGGCGGGGGGAGGAGGAGGGGGGAGGGAGGGGGCGAGGAGGGGGGGGAGGGAGGGAAGGGGGCCAAAAGGAGGGAGGGGGCTGGGGTGGGGGGGAAGGGGGGGGAGGGGGGGCCCCCTGAGCGGGGGCGCCCGGGGGCGGGGGGGGGGGGGCTGGGGGGGGGAGGGTTTAGGGGGGCGGGGGGGTGCGGGGGGGGAGGTGGGGGGAAAGAGGGGGGGGAGTGAGGGGATGGGGAGGGGGAGGAGGAGGAGGGGGGAGGGGAGGAGAGGAAAAAGGGGGGGGAAAAGGTGGGGAAGGAGAGGGGGGAGGGTGAGGAGGAGGGGGGAGGGGGGAGGTGGGGAGGAGGAGGGGGGAGGGAGGGGGGGGGGAGGGGAGGAGGGGGAGGGGGGCCCCGGGTGGGCCGGGGGGGAGGAGAGGGGGGAGGCTGAGGAGGGGGGGGGGAAGGAGGGGGGCGGAGGGGTGAGGGGGCTGGGGGGGGGGTGGGACGGCGGGAGGGGGGAGACAAAAAGGGAGGGGGAAGGGGGCCGCGGCGGGCCCCGAGCGGAGGGCGGGGGCGGGGTTGGAAAAAAGGGGAGGGAGATGGGGAGGGGGGCGCGGGGGGGGCCTTCGGCGGGCCAAAAAAGGAGGGGGGTGCGCCGCGGGGGGGGCGGGGAGCGGGGGTTAAAGGAAGGCCGAGGGGGAGGCGAAGGGGGGAAAGGGGAAAAGGAAAAGGGAAAGGGGAACGAGCCGGCCCGGCAAAGACGGCGCGCGCCCCCGGCGGGGCGGGGCGCGCGCGCCGGCGCGGGAGGGCGGGGGCAAGGGGGCGCGGGGAGCGGGGGGCGCGAACCCCGGGCGCGCCCCCACGGGCCCCGGGGCGGGCGGGGCGGGGCGCGCCCACCCCGGGCGCGCGCCGGGCCCCGCGGGCGCGGGCGCGGGGGCGCGGGGCGGGGAGGCGCCGCCGGGGGGCGGGGCGCCGGGGGGGCCCCGGCGGGGGGGGCGGGGGCGCGGGGGCAAAGGGGGAACCCAAAGGCCCCGGCGAGGGGGCGCCCGGGGGGACCCCGAAGAGGTCGAGGGGCGGCGCCCCAAGCGGGCGCGCGGGGGGCCGGCCGCGGGGGAAGGGCGGGGGGGCCAGGGACGAGAGGGGGCCGGGGCCCCGGGAACAGCGGGGCGGGGCCCGGGGCCCCCGGGGAAAAACCCGGGGAGGCGGGGCCCAAACGCGGGAGCCCCCAAAGGGGGGCCCCCCGGGGGGGGCGCAGAGAGAGGGGGGCGAAAAAAAAAAAGGCAGGGGGAGAGGAGGGAAAACCCCCAAACATTTTACCCCTTTTCCTCTCCCCTCCTTCCCCCCTAAATTTTTGTCCCTTTTCCCCATTTGCCCTTTCCTTCGGGTGTTGGGGGCCCGTTCTCTAGATTTCCCTTTCCCCTTTTAAAATCTCGGGGAGAATCGCCCCTTTTACCCATCTCTCTTTTCTCTTTTTATCTTTTTCCTTTTCCCCCATCTCTCCCTTCTTTTCTCCCCCAATTCAATTTCAATTTAAGGGCTTTACTGGCATGGGAAACGTATGTTAACATTGCCAAAGCAAGTGAAGTAGATAGTAAAAATAAATCAACATAAATATGGGTTGTATTTACAATGGTGTTTGTTCTTCACTGGTTGCCCTTTTCTTGTGGCAACAGGTCACAAATCGTGCAGCTTTGATGGCACACTGTGGTTTTTCACCAAGTAGATAAGGGAGTTTTCCAAAATTGGGTTTGTTTTCGAATTATTTGTGGATCTCTGTAATCTGAGGGAAATATGTGTCTCTAATATGGTCATACATTTGGCAGGAGGTTAGGAAGTGTAACTCAGTTTCCACCTCATTTTGTGGGCAGTGTGCACATAGCCTGTCTTCTCTTGAGAGCCAGGTCTGCCTACGGCGGCCTTTCTCAATAGCAAGGCTATGCTCACTATCTGTACATAGTCAAAGCTTTCCTTAAGTTTGGGTCAGTCACAGTGGTCAGGTATTCTGCCACTGTGTACTCTCTGTTTAGGGCCAAATAGCATTCTAATTTGCTTTGTTTTTTTTGTTAATTCTTTCCAATGTGTCAAGTAATTCTCTTTTTGTTTTCTCATGATTTGGTTGGGTCTAATTGTGTTGTTGTTGTTGTCCTGGGGCTCTGTGGGGTCTGTTTGTGTTTGTGAACAGAGCCCCAGGACCAGCTTGCTTAGGGGACTCTTCTCCAGGTTCATCTCTCTGCAGGTGATGGCTTTGTTATGGAAGGTTTGGGAATCGCTTCCTTTTAAGTGGTTATAGAATTTAACGTCTCTTTTCTGGATTTTGATAATTAGCGGGTATTGGCCTAATTCTGCTCTGCATGCATTATTTGGTGGTTTTCGTTGTACACTGAGGATATTTTTGCAGAATTCTGCATGCAGAGTCTCAATTTGGTGTTTGTCCCATTTTGTGTATTCTTGGTTGGTGAGCGGACCCCAGACCACACAACCATAAAGGGCAATGGGTTCTATAACTGAATCAAGTATTTTTAGCCAGATCCTAAT